GTTGGACATGATGTCCACAGGTCTTAAAGTTGACGTGGTTGGAAGTCCACAAATCTTAACATTGACATGGTTGGATATGGTTGGACATGATGTCCACAGGTCTTAAAGTTGACGTGGTTGGAAGTCCACAAATCTTAACATTGACATGGTTGGATATGGTTGGACATGATGTCCACAGGTCTTAAAGTTGACGTGGTTGGAAGTCCACAAATCTTAACATTGACATGGTTGGATATGGTTGGACATGATGTCCACAGGTCTTAAAGTTGACGGGGTTGGAAGTCCACAGATCTTAATGTTGACATGGTTGGATATGGTTGGACATGATGTCCACAGGTCTTAAAGTTGACATGGTTGGAAGTCGATGGGTCTTAAAGTTGACATGGTGTATATCATACTCTTCAACCTTTGTGTCCCCCAGCAAGCAGTAGTTGCTGTAACTGGCGATGGAGTCAATGATTCACCAGCTTTGAAGAAAGCAGATATCGGAATTGCAATGGGGATCGCTGGCTCTGATGCAGCTAAAAATGCAGCAGATATGGTCTTGCTGGATGACAACTTTGCTTCCATCGTTACTGGAGTTGAAGAAGGTAAGACGACCAGGCCATGATTTGAACCTTAGCTGCACACTGTGATTCGTTGGTATACCTTTAAAGAGGGGGGACTTCACTGCTAAAGCTGGATGGATTATGGGATTCTGATGTATCTGAGGGCAAGCTGGACATATCTAGAAAAGAATCCCCATGAAAATATGAAGACAATTTCATAACCACCATTGCTACAATATTTGATAAAAACATCCTTTATCCAGGTCTACTGATTTTTAACTTGTCATATGTCCCAATCATGGCCAAATTCAGCCCAGTTTATCTCAAATTCATCCATCCATCCATCCATCCAAGTTTTAGAACTTTATGTCCTGTTACTTATCTTCATATAATAGCAGTAGACATTGCAGGAATTGGTCACATTTTGTAGCATTTGATTCGTTGTTCTCCATGAAATGAATCAGATGTTGAGAACATCACCTCTGCAGGAGTTATCTGAAGTTGTCCACAGATGAGGTCTACCCTTGTGGCAATTTCAAGGGAAAGACATATTGAGCATACTAATGACTTAGTCCTGAGAATATTGCTGGAAAGCTGATTTTTTTCAGTGCAAGTAATGACAGTCAAAGAAACATAAGCTTCCTTGGTGTTGTGTTGTAGCAGACACAACCACCAACAGTGTTCAGATTAAACTGATAAAGGAGTTGTAGATCTCAGAAGGTGGCATGACATATTCAGGCAGCTCTCAACAATCTTCTTGTTTCCCTGCTCTAGGCCGCCTGATTTTTGACAACTTGAAGAAAACGATCGCCTACACCTTGACCAAAAACATCGCCGAGTTATGTCCTTTCCTGATTTACATCATTGCCAGCATACCCCTCCCTATTGGCACCATCACCATCCTCTTTATCGACCTGGGCACAGACATTGTGAGTTCTTGATTTCTGAAAGACAAAACTTCCTCTTTCTCATGTGCATGTTCACTGAAACAATTTGTCAACACCAGACTTAAAATCATACTGCTATCTTCCCATTTCCTGCACATACACACCAACACCCACACCCACACACCACCACCAAACTTGATACACAGATGACTTACTCTCTGGAAACAAATACTGTGGGGGTAAGACACCCCTAACACCTCCTCGGTGTGTGTGTTCACACACAGA